GGTGCAGCTTGGGGTGCGTATTCAGTTGGAAGGCGGCTGACGTTATTATAATTTGCATTATTATAAGTGATCTGGCGATCATATTGCCCGTAGGTAGGGTATGGTTGCTGCATTGTATCTTTTCGAATGTAATAAAATGATTACAAAAATTATCTACTACTCGATAACAAAAGATTGCTCGATATAGGTTATTTTCAAGAATGAGGAGAAAATGCCGTAAAAAAAAATAATAGGTTATAGCCTGACGTTTCTTCATGATCCTAAATATCTTTTCTTCTTATAAACACAGTATTTCACTCAAATTCTAAATTACATGAGATCTATTCCTCGTATTACCCTCTCGTGAAAAAAAAGGTTAAAAATACAAACAACTACGGTGGGAATTCGGCATACGTGGAAGGTATAATGAATAAATAAATAAAGGATTAAGCATAGTAATTTACATGCATACAATATCATCAGAAGGATTGGCTTCGGACAATGATTCCTCTTTGGTGCTCCCATTTTTATCGGTAGGCACTTTTAGCTTCTCTATTCTCTTTGAGAAAAACACATTAATACGACTTATGGTATCATCTTGAAGCTTTGTGATAGGGGTTTTAAGTTCAGGGCTAATCTCGTATTGCTGCGGTTCAGCTCCAGAAGCGCCGGGCTTTGAAGTTATATGTAGCATCGTCATAAGTTCAAGAATAAAACCCTCTGTGAGAGCACTTACAATTTTGGATGGGATTTCAAATATAAATGGTTCGTTTCGAACTGACATGAAATGATTGCGAGCCTGGTAAAAAAGGTCCTCAAAAAAGACCAGTGAGTTTGTCCTCTGATATGAAATTTGTTCCAGCGATTCCTGCACATGATGAGTGCTAAGCGACAAACTGTTGATGTTAGTGACTGCATATTCACCATCCTCCATTTTTTTATTCTCTTCAGAAACTAGTTTTGAGTGGGAAGAAGCGATATCCTTTCTCTCCACAGAGGATGATGTTAAGGACACATTCTTCAAGTACATTTCAAAAAACATTTCATCGTTTGTGGCACGTAGATAAGAGTTATCAGCAGCGAGCAAGAGCTTGTCCTCGTCGAAACTACTACTGTCTTCTGGTTCGATGAAGTTAGTAGCTAGGCTGAGGGGCATCTCACTGGAAACATTGCGATCCGACGTTCTAAACGATCCACACCACAAAAACCACAGCCGATCACGTTTATCCGATTTGAAGTAGAGAACCATCCTGGAAATAAATTTGTGCTCGGTGTAATAAAAGTGCTGCACAATGTTTCCGCATAGTTTCTTAACAGTCATCGCAACGTTACTGGAGACCGTTGCGACCTCACTGAGGTGGGGCGGTCCCTCATAGGTCACGGCCGACG